TGATACCTTAACTTTAACCTTTTTTCAAGTTGAATCTCATTTGTGTGAAGGTCACTCGGTTCTGCAGAGCGCTAAATGCTGACAGGGTGAATATTGGTGAAAAACTTGCCACTGCTGAGCAACGTGGAAGGTGGACAACATTACGTGGCTCAAGAAACCGGAGCATATTAATGAAGTATATTAGCAGCCATGCAGGGATGCAGTGCTTTTAGGCTTTCTTGGTACAGAATAGCTGTCATGTTGGTTGTACCCATTGTGCTGCCGAGCTTTGTGATTGAGTAAATAGTTATTCTGCCCCTAAGAGTTTGTTTATGGGTGTGTGTGTTTGAGAGAGAGAGAGAGAGAGAGAAGGAGGGAGGGAGGGAGAGAGAGAGAGGGTGGGACAGACCGCTGGGGGTGTGCATTGTCCATTGTGTGTCAGCACAGTGTCAGTTTAAGAAAGGAGAGAGCAGTGCGACAGAGCAAGAAGGACACCGAGTCCTGCTCTGATCTGTGACAGCTGGAGGTATTACCATGGCACAATGGGCCAATAAGAACCTTCGACTTAAAATTATTTTTTAGGCATTTTATTGAGGATGATGATACATAAGAAACTTTCGTTCACCTTTGAGAAAAGCTAGTCCTAAAACTTATTTTCTCCTGATTTCTGTTGGGATGCAGTTAGCTTAGATGCCCCAGAAGACATTCAGCTGGATTTCTGTAGAAATTTCTTTACCTTTTACTTCCTGACCTTGTCTGTTTAATGTAATTGAGCTGCTTTTTTATAAACCACAACAGACAGTTTTGGATAGTGCCTAGAACAATCCAACAAATCCATTCTGTTTTCAGCTTAGAAAGGACGGGATTTCTACTGAAGAAGGTAAGACTGTTTCCTTGCTTTTCCTTTTTGCTTTTTGGGATGTTATCAACAATATATAACAATATATATAACATCTGAATATAACATTATAGATTTCTCAGTGGCTGAAATCGGAGTTGCCTGGCATATAGTCATATGTTTGGAAGGTTTGCGGTTAGATCATAACGCCAAAGATCAAGAATGACTTGTTGCCAATTAACTTAGGAACCTACAATCTATTGGGCTGCATCTGTGATGCAGCTAATTTGAAGTTCCTGTGATATGCACCAGAACTCAGGTTGTCCCTGGAGCCCCGTCATCTGGTTGCTATGTAACCGAGTAACTAAGACCTACATTTTGTGATTAATTGTATACACTGTGGAAGACTGGCTCTTCACACCTTTGCCATTGGCTTCCATCCAGATTTTCTTCCCCGGCTGCTTGTCTGTCTTGCTTCTAGGAGAGAGAAGCCTGACCTGGAATGGTGGGTTTTATTTGTTTCACGTCGCTACCAAAGTGTTTGAAATGTAGGTAAAGGGTTGGACAGATTTTAAACAGAGTTACAGAGAGTTTCAGTCTCTCCTCCCATCATCTGCAGTGTTGGCTTTGTTTAGTGTCTTTGTTTTGGTTTAAGTTGAGCCTATACTTGACTCAGCCCATAAATGACTGTATGAGGTGGTGTGCGGCTCTGTGGGTTTGAACTCGGAAGGTTGCTGGTTCAAGCCCTGTGGACTGCAGAGTAGTTTCACCTAAGCAAGAGCCTTAAAACCAATTGCTCCAGGGAATGTCTGACCCTGCTTTCTCAACTGTATGTTATTTTGGGTAAAAGGGTCTGCTACATAAAATAAACACGTTTAATTGTTGACAGGTTTTGCTTCTTGTTCTTTGAACTTGCGTATACCCTTAAAATGATGTTGAATAACGACTTACGACATTTCAAGTTACGAGCGGCCATTCGGAACGTATCTCGTTTGTTAGAAGAGCGAAAGATTAAAACAGCTCCTGTGTACATTTTAACTAATCTGCTTGTTGTGTTTTGTATTCTTTACTTTTGCCTGATGGTTTAAGGGGTTTGTGTTGAAGGTACACTGTAGTGATGATGATGATGATGATGATGATGATGATAATGGGTGGGTAACCAAATTGCATTAACTTTTAGGTTGAGAATTGGGGTTGTAGCTTGACCTTATTACATGAACAGATTTGGTGACTGGGAAGTGTACAGATGTAACGGTGGAGGTAATCTGAAGCTTTATTTGCTGCAGAGTTTTTGACTGAGGCCAGGTGCCATGTCTACTCTGGGAATGTGGAAACTGAGTTCTGAGGCACCTTTGTCTGTAGGATGCAAGACCCATGAACAATTACAGAGAGTTCTTCTGCTCTGCCTGTTGTTCATTACGATGTCCTGCATTTGGGAAGGCAGTATGTTTGCTGTATGCTTTTCAGGCCACAAATAGCACCTTCTAGTAAGTTGGAGAAAACTCCCTGTCTTCACATTATAGGGCAGCAGGAGGGTGTTTTTAAGCACAAGTGTGCAGAATGCGGCCAGATCAGTGGAACACAGGAAGTGAAAGGAGATAAGGGAGGCAGAAAGGCCTTCGCGTTATCTCACTCACCTCCTAGCTAGGAGCCTTTACTCTGCCTGAATGAGAGCCAGCGATGGGGCCCATTCTGACTCATTTGAAATCCTGCAGTCTTTCCATCTCGCTGTCAGTATAATAATGACTGGGGACTGGATCATGTGAAGTTTTTAAATTGTGTGTTCCTTAATAAATAGGCATTTATGCACTCCATAGGAGTATAAATATTAATCTGTGAGATCATCATGTAGCCTCCTGGGCCATTGTCAGTGTCAGGGCAAGGTCACAGAAAATGGATTATAGATAGCGAGAAGAAAGACTAGACTTGGGCATAACCTGATCTACTGTGTTTGTCATTATTTGTTCCAGCCTTGCTTTTCACATGTTTCTTTGTTTACACCCATGTTAGTGTGGCTGATGCAAAGATTATGCCCATCCAGAGGTGGATAGTTCAGGTCCAGAAAGTAAAAATCCAGACCAAGATTTTTTTCCAGCCAACCAGTTGAGTACTCCGTGACTGTGATTCTTCATACTCAACTGGTTGGTTGAAACAAAATCTTGGTCTGGATTTTTACCTTCTGGACCTGAACTATCCATTGCTGTGTTCATCCGCTTTCTATTTACTTTTCCAGTATAGGTCTGCAGAGGCATGGAGCTTATGTTATGCAGCGTAAGGCATTAGAACACCCTAAATGGGATGCCAGTCCGTCGCAGGGCACACAATCCGTGGGAAATTTAGAAATGCCAAACAGCATTGTTAGGAGCAGAATATGCAACACAGAGGGAGTGCACAGAGCGGTATGAGAGTCACTCTGCAGAGGCCTGAGCTGACTGTGCTGCCTGCTGCACCACTGTGCCTGTGCAGGTTCTAGATTGAATATATTTATGAGTTAAGTACTGAACTTTCATGAACTTCTAAGGTCCTTTTCCATCAGGCTTTGACTGTTGTGGCTGCATTTGGTGGCCTTTGTCTAATGTGAATATGGTGGGAGTTCCCTAGAGAGTGGCAGGAAGGTGTGGGGTTTGTACTGAGTGTGCAGTCCAACAGGGATGAAAAGCCCGAGTAAAGCTGCTTTGTTCCCATATATGTCTCGACATGGGGCCTTGTGCCACAAATGCTGAAATGGCCCACTGTTACGCAATCAGAGGGTGCCTCTCCAAAAAGGCTTCAGCCAATTCAGACCCAATTGTGGAGTGGAGAGCCCAGAGATTCTGGCTGGCTCACTTCCTGACACGGAGACACTGCTCTGGGAGAGCGTGTCACTGTGAATGCACTCCAGTAGTATCCAAAGTTTAAAAAAAGCTATTAGGGTCCCTTTCATGAACCTCCTTGTTTCCTCCTTGAACCTCTCGTCTTTTTCAAGCAGGGTGATTTTTTTGGACTGTGTATGATGGTCACTGTAAGTTGTTCAGCCTGTTTTCTTTACGTTTCTGTAAATCACCAAACATCCCGCCTGCAACCTATCCCACCATGCAAACGCTGGTGAGTCCCTGCAGGACCGTTTGCTTTAGGTACGGTGACAGACATGCACCAGCGTCAGTCCGCGTTTCTTTCAGCTGGCAGGCATTCTGTGTCTGATGAGCATTGCAGTGACAGAGAGGGGAAAGTATCACACGGAAACGTGTCGCGTAATGTGCTCAAGCTGCTAAACCGCGTCATGCTTTGGGACTGGAATGAAGATTGGAGATCTCACAAAGTGCAGATGAAATGGAGGTCACTAAAAAAAATATAATTGGGACGTTGTTTACATTAGACTTCGTCCTGTTGGATCTACGTCCAGCAGCAGTTGGCAGCTGATCAGCTGAAGTCTTTTTGTCTTTGTGTTTTTCAGATCGACTCATGCTGCTCAACTTTGTATGTTTGCCACTAGTGCGAGTATTAACTCTGTATCTATGAGGCTTGCAGTATGGAAGGAGCTTTTCATGTGAATGTGAATGTTAAGGAAGCTTTTATAGGTCTTCAAAGATCACCGAAAGCCATTTTTTAAAGTAAAAGTTTACAGGATGGACACTGGTAGGAGGAGGAACTCAGCCTATGAAATTTTATTGAAGGCTTCACATCACATCATATTATAGTCAAGCGCTGTGTGTGTGCGTGTGTGTGTGTGTGTGCGTGTATGTGTGTACATACATGTGTATGTTTGTGTGTGTGTGTGTGTGCGCGCGCATGAGACTTGTGTGCGCACACGGGTGTATGTGTCTGTGTGTGTGTGCACGCATGTGGCTGTGTGTGTGCGTGAGTCTGTGTCTGTGTGTGTGCGCGTGCTGTATCACAGGTTCTCCCTGATCTCACTACCCTTCCTACCCTGGAATTCCCTCATTGTCCGTTGAGTTGTAGTTACTAAATCAAACAAGCTGCCTCTTTTTCTGCTGGTGGGATTTGAACCCTCCGCTTCCCCAGCCTCTCACTCTCCATCTCTCACCCACTTTCTGTTTTCCTCTTCTGGGCGGAATCAAATGCAGCTGTAGTCATGCTCCATTTCTGTGAATCTTCTTCTGTGCCTGTCACTCTCACTCTTTCCATTGTTGCGCTGATCTGCTGGACGCATACCAACACAAGCCCCCCGCCCCCTCTCTCGCAGGAAGATCTGCATCCACTGTAAGTGCGTGCGTGAGGAGCATGCTGTTCGGCCCGCACCGGGCCAGCTGGAGAGGATGATGACCAAGCTGGTGTTCGACTTTCAACGGCACTCCATCTCCGACGATGACTCTGGGTGCGCCTCCGAGGAATACTCCTGGGTCCCACCCGGGCTAAAACCGGAGCAGGTCAGAGCCCGAGATCCATCCGCTGGGGGAAATGGAAAGTGGGAGAGCAGGAAGAGTGGGACGGGACAGGGCGAGTTCTAGGCAGGCGGCATGTGGAGAGGGCCGCGCTTCCGCTGGGAGTCGGATAAGTCTGTGTGCATCAGTCATGCCCACATACAGACACGGAGCCACGCTTGTGCACTTTCCTGGGGCATTTCAGGTGCCAAGCAGCATGTCTCCGCTGTCCCTGCCTGCCCCAGATCACCTCCAGCGTCTCCTCAGAGCTGTAACAGCCACCTTTACTGCATCTCTGACTGCCAGCTGGGTCCCTTAACAACCCGAAAGCAGCCATGAATTTTTCATGGAAGCCGCACTCCCTCTGCGCCCTGGCGTTGCATGTGTGGTGTCAGCAGGGTCCCGGCTGGGTGTGGGGTTACGATCCCGCCTCTTGACACGAACTCGCTCTTCCTTGCACCCCCTATAGGTGTATCAGTATTTCAGCTGTATTCCTGAGGACAGGGTCCCATATGTAAACAGCCCTGGGGAGCGATACCGTATCAAGCAGCTCCTCCACCAGCTGCCGGCCCATGACAGCGAGGTAGGGGGCGCCAGAACTCACATGTATGCACGCACGTCCACTGCATGGGTATCCCTCTTGTGATTGTGTTTTGTGTGTGTCCAGCCCCAGTACTGTAACTCCCTGGATGAGGAGGAGAAGAAGGAACTGCGACTTTTCAGTCAGAAGAGGAAACGGGAAAACCTGGGCAGAGGCTCCGTCAGGATTTTCCCCGTTACCATGATGGGTGCCGTCTGTCAGCAGGTGAGGAGCGGCGTCAGGCAGCCATCGTGAAAGAGCCCCGGGGATGACGAGTGGCAGTTTTTTAGGGGGGTGGGTGCTCACGTTGTCTTCCCCCCCATGTCTTAGTGTGGCAGGCAGATCCGGGGCGGTGACATCGCCGTGTTTGCCAGCAGGGCGGGGCTGGGTGCCTGCTGGCACCCCCAGTGCTTCCTGTGCGCCCACTGCCACGAGCTGCTGGTGGACCTCATCTACTTCTACCAGGATGGCAAGGTGTACTGCGGGCGGCACCACGCCGAGCAGCTGAAACCGCGGTGCCAGGCCTGCGACGAGGTGGGCACCCACACGCCATTTTTATTGCAAGCTGCATGTCCATGTTTTTTAGATAATAAGGATTAAAATCATACAATCAGTTTGTTTAAACCTGGACTCAGTCATAATCTGATTGTACTGCTCTGGTTTAAACCCCTACCAAAGTTTGTGTTTAACTCCCACCTTGGCCGACAAAATCTACTGAGGGAGACCACCCCCCACTCCCAACCCTACTGAGGGTACGGTTTTCGGACCCCCACATGAGATTTATTTCTGGCTACTGGCCTGCTGCTCTGGTTCATAATGAAGCTGGTCAGGCATGACCCACCTGTCTGTTACCACGACGCATTAAAACACTAAGATTTGGCTGTGTACGTGAATGTGTGTGGATTGTGCTTGTATTACATTGTGGGGACCATTTTTCAGGTCAGGTCTGTGTGGTGGCTTGGCTTTGGTTATACAGTATTCTGATCCTGGTTCAGCAGTTCCTGTCCTCCTCATTTTGGGCTCTGACCAGACAGGATTAATGAAGTGTGATGGAGCAGGAGAGCAGTTCTAATCTGGCACTGAATGGACTTTTGATATCAATGATTAAGTCAGCCCAACATGATTATACATTTTTAAAGTTGATTTATGAATCAGAACTGTTCCAATTCTGCTCATGTCACGTATTCCCCTTTTCTACATTCTCTTTGTAAACTTTAATGGATATTTGTGGTGAGCTTTTCACAGATCTTGCCGAGGCTCTTTGTCACCCTGCCTCTCTCTCGTATTCAGATCATCCTGGCGGATGAGTGCACGGAGGCCGAGGGTCGTCACTGGCACATGCGGCACTTCTGCTGCTTCGAGTGCGAGGTGGCGCTGGGCGGTCGCCGCTACATCATGCGGGAGAGCCGGCCCTACTGCTGCTCCTGTTACGAGTCGCTCTACACCGAGTACTGCGACACCTGCGGGGAGAACATAGGTATGACCTCTCAGCGCTGCCCTCAAGTGGTGGGAGGTGGAAGGGTAGCAGCCTGGGAATGCTCCTCTGCGCTCGCAGCATCGTTTAAGTGAAAGCTATGGCTGTGTTTTTATTTTTTAATGGCTCACTCACTATCCCCTTTGTTGGAGAATCTGTGTAGTGCACTATATGGGAAATTAGTGAAACAAGACAATGGTTTCAGAAGCTACATTTAAAGACCCCGTGTTGGAAACCTAACAGAGATGACATAAAGGCGATGAAGTGGATATGGATGCCTAAGCCTGTCATTTATTTTAATCATCATCATTATTATTATTATTATTATTATTATTTATTATCGTGAATAATAATAATGCAATATTATTATTTAAAATTGAAGTGTCAACTTTTTTGCAGAGGTGGCTTTTTAAGTTTTTTTTTTATTTTAAAAATGCGTTGTTTGTGCAACATACATCACCGTTGCACTGCATTACGGTACTCAGGGAGCATGCTAGCACGCAACCTCTGCACAACATTTGCAGTACTTAGTGTGTATTTTATTGTTTGCTATAAAGTACCCCTGATTTGCTGTTGAGAACTAAAAAAACACTACAAAATGGTAGGTGCACTGTATAGTGCACTTTTTAGGGAGTAGGGAGCAATCGAGGGCTCAAGGTTTATTTATTGTCATTCTTAACATGTTGACACATGATGGGAAAGAAATTCCAGCAGCACCATTAATATGAGATGAGTGGGGTAGCTAGTCTAAATACTTTAAGTCTCATTTGCCATATGCTCAGTGAGTGTACCAAATGCAAACTGGCTACACAGGCTGGTGATAGGAGGAGCCAGACTCTGGAACTCACAGCAGTTAAATTGCAGTCACTGCCTGATCGAAACCAATGGAAAACAACCAAGTAACCAATGAGAAGAGTGATAGGTCAGTTGGTGATTCACAGTGCATGATAATCCCACCCATCATTTTCTTCCTTCCCAGACGGAACACGAGGCAGGTTTATGTTCACCCTTAAGCTGAAAGTCGACACACAAGCAATGCGCATCATATTGTAGCTACAAGTAATATAACAATACTTAACTATGATACAAGTATAGAATTACATATCAGCAAATAGGGGATCACTGTGCATTGTGCTGTGACATGCACTGCACAGGATGCTGATTTGTGTACTACTTTCAGCTGCAAAAAATCAAGACATTTAGTGAATGGTCTGGTAAGAAGTTCAGAAGCACTCATTCCAAAAAAAACCAAAAAAACTGTCTGATTAAAGTAAATCCGCCAGTTCCGAGTGTAAATGTCCCCCTGTTGTTTTGTCTGCCCTCCAGGCATTGACCAGGGCCAGATGACGTATGAGGGCCAGCACTGGCATGCCACAGAGGCGTGCTTCTGCTGTGCCCACTGCCAGCTCCCCCTGCTGGGCAGACCCTTCCTTCCACGCGGAGGCCTCATTTTCTGCTCCCGCCCCTGTTCCCTGGGGGAGGATCCCAACAACTCTGACTCCTGTGACTCAGCTTTCCAGAGCAGCCTCTCCAAGCCCAAAGTACTCCAAGCTGCCAGTGCAGAAGCAAAACCACAGGCCCATCCACAGCCCAGAACGGAATACGAACCCTCAGTGGCACCCGGGAAGACCGGAGGGAATGGGGAATTGGAAAACAGAAGTACGGGAAAGTGAAAGAGAGGAATGTGTGTGAGAAATGGAAGAACAGACAATATATAAAGCGCTAAAGTGCCCTCTAGTGTCAGAAGACTGAAAAACACATTTCATGTGTCATACCATGCATATACAGCAATATAGTGCAATAAATATAGTGTCAGTTGATTGACAATAAATAGATGAATAAAAATAAAGTGACCAGTGTGTGTATATTTTTAAGCATGGATAGGTGTTTATGAGGGCACCAGGGTGTTGAGTCTCATTAAGGCCTATTAGAAGCTTCCAGTTTGCAGTCATGTTGTCTCTCCCCCGTCCTCAGGTCTGCCTGGCTTCACACCGCAGCAGACTTTGGAGAATGCAGAGACATTACCCAATGGACACAGCAGAACCACGCCATCCCCAGATCCCCTCAGCCAGCCCTCCCATGAGCAGCATCCTGAGCCAGTAAACGTAACCACCGGCAACAAGAATCAGGCCAAGGCCACAGAGCGGGAGCTGGAGCAATCGCTTCTGGAGCACTTCTACCCAAACAGCACATCAAGAGGGACAACAACTGCAAGGAGCTGGAGCAGTGAGGCAGAGCAGAGGGACGCTGGTATGTTCACAATGGAAACTGAACAGATAACAATGCTCTTAGGAAAATTATATAATACTAAATGTGATGTGGACATGGTCCTATCAGTCCAATAATATCACTGGTTTAATCTTGAATGAACTTCTATGGAAACTATTTTTTTTCTAATTGTCACCGTTCCCTTTTCCAGAGTTTTCACCCCAGCATTACTCTGTGCCAGATGTGGGTGGTCCTCTCTCTCCTGCCAACCCCCCTCACTCTGTAGAGTCTGGCTACTCCCAGTGTTGCCAAGCAAAGACCACAACCGCTGAAGCCAAGCCCACAACCCCTGGGACCCAACTGGCTCGCACCGGAATCAGCAGGGTCTGCTTCAAAGAACCAGTCAGCTGCAGCTACATGGTGGGAGATAATGAAGAGAAGACTGAGGAAAAAGAAGAGGTGCTTCAGCAAGGAGACCAGGGCCAGGTGGTGCCTGGAGGGTTTAGAAGAAAGTTGTCGAGTTTCCCACCTCAGATGGATCTCTTTGGTAAGAACATAACACCCTTTTGAATTAATTAATTTATACAAGGTGTATCGTTTAAAGTTTCATTAATGTCAAGTACATTTGTGTGAAAGAGTAAGTACCCCCATGTAAAGGTCTCTCTTTTTTAACATATGTGGACATCAAGATTATATCTTCATTTAAACAGTATCTATAGATATAAATGATATAACAAAAAAAGTTTAATTTGATTTTACAATGATTGATAAAACATTTAGGTAATATTTAAAGCACCCATGTATACGGCATTATAGATACCTTCATAATGCATTATAACGCATTCATAAAGTATTATAAACATGGCTATAGCTATTTATTAAAAGGCAAAACACATGATAGCCTCATTTATTATGCATCATGAATGTTCTATGAAGCTCTCATCTATAATGCACTATAAATACCTTCATAATGCATTATAATGGCTTATACTGACCATTATAACGCATTACAAAGGTATCTTCATCAACAACATTCACAATGACCAACAAAGGAACAGGGCAAGGACAGGCACATATACAGTGGTACCTCAGTTCTCAAACTCGATCTGAATCTCAGAAGTCAAACTGTGAACGCCGACCTAAGATAACTTGTACGCGTGGGGAAGTGAGTCACGCAGCACTCGGCGGAAACAAAGGGTAACACTTCACCTTCAGCCTCGCATTCGCTGTGACAGCATCGTCTGTTGGTGATAGTGCTTTTTTAATTGAAAATACTGCATCAGGTAATACACTGTACTTTATATCATTTTGGTAGCCATTGCTCACCAAAAAGTTGTGCAATAGTTGTTCAAATGTACAAATTAACGAATACAGAGTAATAATAAAAATAAACAATGGACCGCATGGCATAGTCTAGTGTTGGCGCAGTGTTGGAGCATGGCTTGGGGTTGTCACGATCTGCCGAGCCGGGACCAGGGAAGCAGGGACTGGACTCAAGCGATCAGGAAACACAGGGTTTAATTGAGAACAGGCAGAACAACACAATGACGTTACAATGACTGGACTGGGGAAACAAACTGAAACGCGGACTAAATACAGAGGACTAATGATAACAACCAGAAACAGCTGATCACACGGGGATCCCACACGAGGTTAACGAGGGGGCGTGGCACACGGATGGAGCGGATGATCAGGGTAGGACAGGGGTAGTGTTGGGGTACATTCTTTATCGTTTTGGAAGCCATTAATAAAAAAATGCTGCTCTTGTTTTATCTTGTTCATTTTGTGTTTAAATGCTAAAAAAACATATTTAGGTGTATTTTTTGAGGGGGCGGGAACCACTTAATTGGTTTTCCATTATTTCTTATGGGGAAAATTCAATCAGAACTCGAACTTTTTAAGATTCGAAGCCAAGTTCTGAATGGATTGAGTTCAACTTCTGAGGTACCACTGTATACTCTAACAAAGCTAGATGAAGGACAGTTGTGGGCCAGTTACTAATTACACACAAGGAACTCAGGGCTAAAGGAAACAGGTGAAGGGTATTAACAAACATGATGGACTCTGACACAGGTGAGACTAGAAGCAAGGATAAATGACATTACTGCAAAACTAAGCAAAGGTAGGAATATTTGGACAGGGGTACAAAAACAAGGACCTATACCAAAATAAAATACAAAGACATATTAACAAGAGGAAAAAGGAAAACTAATAGATGAACAGATCAACATACTTCAGGGGATCACTGTGGCACATTTAGCCCATTCAGCCATGTGGCAGGGGACCACACTAAGGACTACGTTAGGCGTTACAACACTGAGGAAGGAATGGAATAACCAGAGACACCTGCTGGCCAAATGGGGAAACAGCAGAAAAAAGTATCCAGGCAGAGACTGATCTTGACAATAACCTTCTTTCTGAAGGCATCAGAGAGCTCTTTTCATCTAGGCATGGTAATACTACATCATACAACAACAAGCAAGCCAAACTAAATGTCTGAGGTTTTAATAATCCATCTTCCTCCAAGATCTACTCTAACAATATTATAATCATTTGATAGTAATTTTAGTTATTTTAGGTAGTGATAATGTACTTTTTACGCACACAAAATTTGTATTTACGATTATTTAAATTATACAAGGGACTGCATAATATAAATGTTGCATGTTATTTGTTGTATCACCTTTGTGTATCAATATTGTTGAAACAAAGATGATGTTGAAATATGTTGAAAAATGTAAACTTTACGTGGGGTGTACTTAGTTTTTCATGTAACTGTATTCTATATTTCTTTGCTAACGTTTCATGTCTGTTAAGAAACAAGGAAAAGTCAGTTCTGATATTTAATGACTTATTTGTTCTCTTTGTTTTCTATCTCTTTGTTCCTCCTGCCTTTTGCTTGGTGTTTTCTTGTCCTCTTAAAAATATGTTGTACGTGACTTTTAATTCATACCCCACTATCCTGTCCCACATGGTCCCGATGCCCCTCTGATTGCACACCTCCCAGTGGATGGCCCGTTCCCACATCGCAGTTACCGACGAGGGCCACAGAGCTGCAAGCGTGAGCACCTTGCCTCCGATTGCGCTGTCACCATTGGCACTGAGACGCGGTTCCGACAGGGGCAGTCTGACAGGCCGCGCTTGGACTCTCTGGACTGGCGGGGAGAGCTTGAGAAGGGCTGCAGCATCCCAGCGACTCCACCCCTCTCCCTCTGCCCCGGATACTTTAAGCATGAAGACTGCTGCTCCACCTGCTCCTCCTCCTCCGAGTCTGAGGAAGAGGGCTACTTCCTGGGTCAGCCTATCCCACTACCCCCACAGCTGTGTCGAAGCCAAGCAGGTGTTGGGGAGAGGGAAAGAGGGAAACGTGGAGAAACAGAAGATGGCTTGCAGAACTCTCACAAGAGGAGGGAACGGGGAAGGACGCACAGCTTCAGTGGGAAAGATAAGAATTGCATCCTCTCATGACTCCCAAAGGTTAATCTCCACCCGCAGCTTTCTCTGCAAAGCATTGTGATATCGACCCCTTAAGAAGCCAGAAGATTTCACTGAAAAGCCATCCATGTATTTCAGCAGCAAATTAATTAATCACATTTGTGTATTACACAAAAAAGTCCTAACGTCCAGTAACTTCAATAAATGTTCTGAATAATGGCCAACAGACATATCTTGTTCAGACACAAAGAATCAAATAAAAAAAAATCACATTTTTAAAATACTTTTTACATTTTCACATTTCACACTTTAATGGGACATGGTATTGACATTATCTTCAGTAAAATTAAGTTATAAGGGTGCCTTCTACAAATTCAAGATTTCTTCCAAGTTCATGACCTACACTTAAGAGCTTTATACTCACAGAACATGATTTTATTGTAATCGGTTTCTACCAAATTTCTATTCAGGTTGAATTGTAAATAAGACATCCATCCATCCATTTTCCTACTGTTGAAGGTCAAGATTAAGCAGGACATGCCACAACGTATCCACAAAGTATTCTCCAGAGAATGATTCAAAAAAGGTAAATAGTAACATGTACATTGTAGCTTATATAATAGAACCATTTTTGTGTCACATACACCGATTTCCATGTTTGAAGATGGGAAAACACTTGCATTTAACTGAAACTTGAAGGAAAGCTGATTAACGTGATTGCCACAAAGATGCTGAATTGCAGGATCTTCAGAGAAATTGTATACTGAGTGTTATGTACACTGAGAACAGAAATTTAAGAGATTTAAATTTCAGTGTGGGCTTGATGTGTGCAAAACGTATGTCTGCTATAAGTGAAAAGTCAAAGTAACTTATTACAGTATTTCCTGTTTTTCATACTCTTCAATAAATGTTAAGATATACTTGGTGGTTCTGGTTCTATTCACCTGAGTTTATAACAAAAAAAAAATCTTGGCAATCAAGCAGGTCATTGCAATAACTTGCAGTAATTTGCTGTGCACCAGATTTGAACCACGGTTGCTGTGGCCACAACACACAGTGCTCACTACTATACAATCACAGCCGACCCTTTTGTAGTGATATGGTTCTGGGCATAAGATATTGGGCAGGGATGAAGGGTGGATAAACAAATAACTAAGGATGAATATGTAAAAAAAAATAACCAGATTTATTTATGATTTAATTTTCATTTATGTTATGACAAAACATTGCATCCCTTGAATCGGGTTGTGGGTTGTGGTGACAGTTGGGTTGAAATCATAGACCTGGTATGTGGACTTTGTTTCATAGACACTTGGGTAACATCAGACAAACATACAAAACTTACGGATCCATGTATGATGATTATTCATAGTCACACATTCACTCTGGCATTGCAGCAGTGAAAAATGAGGCTTGCTTGAAGGAGAAAAGACTGTTCTTTTGTTCAGCCCTTAAAAAGACAAACACAGGCACCAAACAAGCACTGGAACCGCACATGCTAGGGAAAAGCAGGGAGGTCAGACACCGAACAATAAGATACACATATGGTGGGCAATTTACACAATAACTAGAGACACGCGAGGATCAGACAGGGTTCACACAAGACACAGGCAAATACACACACAACAATCGAAAACACAAGTATTAACAATGACCAAAACAGAGGGATATTTACAATTACCCAGCATGCTCAGCGCACTTACAGTAGTATAGTTTGAGAACCATGCCAATTCTGAGAGTTTTCCAGGCGAAAACAACAAAACAGGAGGGCACTGGGAGATGGCCTTGAAATACAGGAGAAACCAGGGAAAAACTGGAATGTTGGCAGGTATGGCATGGCATTAGGTTTAAACATGCAGTCCTTAAGGACCCAGATTTATCTGTTGTAAGGTTGTAATATAAAAAAAATTGTACTAATTGAAAAATTGTTTTATGTGAACGTTATTAATAATTTTATTTCTCACTAAATGGATAGACCCGTGGGAAGACATATCCTCCTGAGACCCCACCCATTCATTTATGTCCATTGTAGTGGACATTTTGTTTTTGCATTTATCTTTTCACTGATGTAAGGAAACATATTTATTCCTGTTGTACACTAAAGAGGACATGCTGTGAAATTAAAAATAAAAATAAATTTGAAAAAATCTAAATTGAGATGTCATTTCCTCCAAAGACAAATAACCTACAACTGAAGGACACTTTTTTCCTTTGGTCTCAGGAGGATATGGTCATTCGGCAGTTTTAACATTTGATACCATTAGCACGATAACGGAAAAGGTTTTTGATGGATCTTTTTCAAACTTTGCAGCATATTGTAGAGGTGACAAACTGAAAGTGATCAAATTTTGAGACAGATCACCCCAAAACTCACCCATAGTGATAGCAAAACAAAAAAGGCGGTAGTTTCAGACATTTGATCCCGTAACCAAGATAACTCAAAAAGTGTTTGACAGATCTTTTTCAACCTATGCAGACATCTGCATAGTGATAACAAAAACAAGGCCAGCTCAGACATTTGATCCTGTCAGCATTGTCACGTTCGGCGGACGGGCGAACGAGGAAGCGGGCGAGAGAGCCGTAACTTCAGGAATACGGAGTTTAATCGGGGCAGACAGGCGACGAACATTCAACAATACACATTAGGATCGGATGGAGCTGCGCATGACAGAACCCCCCCCCAAAGGCACGCACACCGGGCCAGGAGGGTGACACGGAGGGAACACCCACAGGCGACACGAAGGGGCCAGGAGGGAACAGAGGAGGAACAGAGGGACGAGGAGCAATAACAGGCGGGACAAAGGGAGGAGGAGCAGACAGGGGAGACCAGACAGGAATGGACGGGGGACAAAAGGGAGCCCGAGGGAGCCCAGACGGGCGGCGGCCGGAGGGGCCGCAGGCGAGAGGAAGGAGGGAGCAGGAGGGGACCACGAAGGGAAAAAGGAGACAGGACGAGGGACAGACGAAGGAGACAAGAAGGGAGTCGGAGGGGCCAACAGCAAAGGGAAGGAGAAGGGGGAAGCCGCAGCCAGCGAAGGGGGACCTGCAGGCGACCGACGCGGAGTCGGAGGCGGGACTGAGGCCAGGGGATGAGGCCGCGGAGGGGGACCCACAGGCGACCGCCGACCCGGAGCAGGAGGAACCGCAGGCGGGCCCCGAGCCCCAGCCAAAGCGAGCGAGGGCAAGCCAGGGGGTAGGGCGGGTGGGACCCCGACCCAACGTCTATGTCCCCTCCCCTTGCGTGACACAGATAGGCGGGGTCCTAGTTGGGGTCGCCCTCGTCGAGGCGAGAGAGGAGAAGTCATAAGGAAGGTCCCTGAGGGGTCCCATTCGAGCTCCTCCTCTATGGAGGTGGAAGCGGCAGTCAGGCTGTCCGGGACCTCCTCAGGGACTAGGACCTGAGCTGGGGGGACTGCAGCCGGAGCCGCGGGCGGTGCAGCCGGAGAGGCAGTCAAGACAGGCGAGCCGGGCTGGACGGGCAGGACTGGAGAGCCGGGCTGGACCGAAGAGCAGGCAGCAGGGGCTGCCTCGGCGGGCGCCTCCGACACGCAGCCAGCAGGGGGCGCCTCAGCGGGCCTCTCCGACATGCAGCCAGCAGGGGGCGCCTCAGTGGGCGCTTCAGCCAGAGCGGCGTCAGGCTGGACAGGCGGTTCAGGCTGGACAGGCATTGCCGCGGGCAGAGCGGCGACAGCAGCAGCAGGCATTGCTGCGGGCAGGTCTGGAGCAGGTAAGCCTGGAACTGCCCCTTTAAGGGCTTTAGGGACCCGGGGAATAGCGTCTCTCACGGCACGTATTCCTCCGTGGCCCAGACGCTCCGGCCGATAAAAGTAAGCCTCCATAGGGGGTGGCTTTTCACCGGCGCCAAGTAGCTCTGCAGCAGCGGGGTCCTCCCAGGCGGGGAAAAGCGAGCACGCTCCCAGGAAGAGCGTCGGGGTGGCTTCCTTTCCTTTTCCCCTTCGCCTCTTCTTTTTACGCCGACCCAGACAGGTAGGTTGAGGCGGGGTTGCCTCTGTGGGGGCGAGCGGCTGGAGCCGCTTCTCCTTTACCGTGCCGACAAGCCGCTGGAGGTTTACGCGCACTTCCGCGTTCTTCTGTGTGCAGGGTAATCTCTTGTAGCAGGGTCCAGCTTTGGTCTGCCAGGGCGAACAAGCCGGGGTCCTCTTGGATCTCCGGTTGCTCGCGCCAATACATCACCTCATGCAGCAGGAGGAGCCAGTGATCTTCCTCCTGCTGCAGTGCGTTGTTTAGGAGATCTGTCATTCTGTCACGTTCGGCGGACGGGCGAACGAGGAAGTAGGTGAGAGAGCCGTAACCTCAGGAATACGGAGTTTAATCGGGGCAGACAGGCGACGAACATTCAACAATACACATTAGGATCGGACGGAGCTGGGCGTGACAAGCATGATAATTCAAAAAATTTTTTGGTTCACCTTTTCCAAACTTTGCACAAATATTGTATGGGTGAAGACCTGGACAACCTTAGATTTTGAGACAAATGGCATCAAAATTGAAGCAACTGTGCTTAGTGACAGCAAAGAGAAGGATGAGAATGATTGGAAGCGTATCCTTGTGAACAGGATCAAATTTTTGTCATTATTACTATACTATTTTATCTTTTATGGGTCTTTTCACCACTTCAAAAAACATTATTTGGTATAGATGAAAATCACCTAAAAATGTGCACTTGATCAGAATCAATTTTTTAACTTTAAGGACAAAATTGGAGCTGCCAGCAGAGGGCAGCCAAGACCAAAAATAAAGCCTGCAGCTGCCATCTTGTGAACACAACCATCTGCCATCTAAACAAATTCCTTGAATTTTCAGCAAACTTCCCAGGAACATTGTATAGGTCTGTGGTTCTAAAACTGTAGGACACTAAATTACTTTCTGAATATTCTGTAATAAAGTTTGACTAACTTTATCCCTGTCAGTCTGATAGCCAGCTGGGGAAATGTATTTTAAAAGAATTTAATTATGTCACTTTTTTGAAACATGGGGAGAGTGTGTAAAGTAGGCTTGTAATAATGGCTGAATTTCAATATGCGTACTTGTGTTCTCGTGTACCTGTTTTACATCATCTTCCATTGCCGAAGACCAGTTCCAATACTAAGAATACCAGAAGATGAGGATGGTAAAAATCCCTGAATGTTGGTCTTGCTCCGCCCCAAATATCAAGGATACATCAGTTGCATCCTCCCCAACAAGACCAATCCCATGATTCACTTCACCCCAAGTTCATTCTTGGAAGATAAGTTCGCAATAACGGTATTGCCAATACCACAAGTATAGTCTTTGCATTCTTGGTATTGAGGTTCACCTAATATTTTCTTTAGACTACAGCAGTGGCGGATCCTGGCAACGGGAATATCTGCAATTGCCCAGGGCAGCTGCATGTTCCGAGGGCGTGCTGACTTAACAAACCATGGGCGCCAAATTGCTCCATTACCCACTTGATAATTTTACCCTCGCCACCCCCTTAGTCGACATCTTTATTTGACGGCTAGGAGGTGGTGGGGATGGCTGGCACATGGGGGTGAAGCCTAGGGTGCCACATACAGTAGGATTCTGCTGCCACTGGACTACAGTATTTTCATTCAGCAAAGACATGAAGTACTCCAGGCTCGCCCTTTTTCAACCATTATGTATAATATGGCTCATAAGATTCAACGAGTAGCATTTGTGAAATGGCCAAAAAAATCAGTGTGCGTCATTGTCTCTGTACTGGACATCACAATTCTGTCATTAAAACCTGCATAACATGCTTCTGTTAAAAATATTAAAGCTGGAAAACGGAATATCAAATATGAAGTTAATTTAACCACTGCATTTTCCAAGTCAAAAAGTCAGTGAGATCTAGAACATAAGAACATAAGAACTATACAAACGAGAGGAGGCCATTCGGTCCATCGAGCTCGCTTGG